CTTGGCCTTGTTGAACCTCATACAGTTGGCCTCAGCCCATGGATCCAGCCCGGCCAGATCCCTCTGCAGAGCCCCCCTCTCCTCAAGCAGATCAACACTCCCACCCAGTTTGGTGTCATCTGCAAATTTACTGAGGGCACACTCAATCCCCTTATCCAGGTCATCGATCATCCCAGAGTAAAACATCTCCACGAGGTGTCAGAGCCACGGTGGGAATTGCCTGGCCCAGAGGTACCTAATTGCTCTATGAATTATGCTTCACTCCAACCAGCAGCAGCACTTGCGTCTGCCCTGTTCTACAAAACCGTTACCATGACAGAAGTCTCCCTGTTCATTAGTTTGCAGGATCAGAAAAAGCTTTTTAATAACAGCAACTCTGAGTTGTCATTATTTCAGGGCAATAAAAATTGAAGCCAAACTTCTCAGGCCAGGAAATACATCAGTACTGAGAAAACAATAATAGCTCAGTCCCTTTGTCAGGGAGCGTTGAGCCAGGGAGCTGTGGGCTGACAGCTCAGGCTGCTGGGATGCCAGCTGAAAAATACAATGCCCTGGTTTTATTGGAAAGTTACAGCACATCCCCTGTCTCCTCCTTCGCTGTGGAGTGAAACCTCCACAGCTATATCCATGCACAGCTCCACAGAAGTCAGCAGAGCCTTACTGGGTTAAACTGGGCAGCTCTGCTGCACGGTTGAATCCTTCCCCACCACCCGTGCTAGGATCTGCTCACTCAGGACCGGGGTCCTGAGGGCTTGGGCGATTAGATAGGATGCCCAGATTTCATTGAAAGGAAGGGGGAAAAACTTTCTTCTTTCATTATTTCTCTGGTAAATGCATCGGTTTGAGAAGATTTAAATCATCTTCCCTTTAGTTCAGGTTCTGTGGACTGGGGAGACTGACAGCATCTGTATTTTGAGTCAATTCACCCTGCTGGAAGAAGGTGCTACAGGGTGTGGGTTTTTTTCCCCTAACATAGGAATTAAAAGAGCTCTTCTAACTTAGGATCATCAGCAAGAGAAGTCGTACTGAGCTGGTCTAACAGTTAGTGCCTGTGAGGAAAACAGGAGAACTGGCTTTTCACATCCAGGCTTAGTCAAGTGATTCTAAAAATATTTATAGAAATACACCAAGAAGAAATTCAGAAGTAGTGGAAACCAGAGGACAGCAACCAACTGGAACAGGCGTGCACACAGCCAGAGCCCCTCCTGACAAAGCAGGCTCATTTGTTGGTGTGAGAAACCGTAGAGCAGATTTGGGAACACATCCGAATGCTAGATTGGCATAGGGGGATTATATATTCTGTTGGACTTTACTAGTTCTATAACTAGTCGTTAGGCAGATCAAATATGACAAACCCTGCAGAGGGCTTATTTAAATGCAAAGTAACAAGCCCCATCAGAGCCCACATAGGACTTGTGTGAATTACGGAGGAGTTTGGGTTGGCACCTCTCACTAACAGAGGTCACAAAGAGAGAAATATTGTGACATTAAAATGCAACGAGCAATTCTGCCCAGCCAGGGAGTGTATTTGCCTGACCTGTCACAGCCGTTTGGCACTTTCACAGGAATATGACTTTATTGCTCGATCGAGCTTCCATTTCCCGCAATACTGGAAGAAGGGAGAGGTAAAAGTGTGTATATAGCTCATTCCTGCCAGCACTCAGATGCGCCCACAAGATCGGCATCTCACGCAAGCTTGTTGTGAAATGCTGTAGATTCATCTCTGACCACTTTACACTTAAACGACTGTCCAAAGTGCCGTGCACAGGGGATCAGGACCAAGGGGTCCCATGCTGTCTCAGTCCCCGAGGAGCTGGGCGGTCACAAGCAGCTTCCATCAGTGTTCTGCCTCCCCAGCGAGAGCCTTTTGGTGCTAACCTACTGGCACTGAATGTATGGGTGCCAACCAACAGCTTTAAGACAATTAGTCCAGGAACCATAAAGCCTGTACTTCTCTAGAGAAAGGCACACGCCAGCCTTGCTGGTAGCTGTGCCTCAGGCACCAAGCAGGAGACATCACTCCCTTGTACAACCAAGAGCCCGCGAGTCAGCACGAACCACCATAAACCTCTTCTTGTCAGACCAGTCTATACACATCCTTCCCCCCCAGCCCTGGAAAGATCTAAACACATACACCCCCCCCTCGTGAAAACAAAGGCAGAGCTCAGGGAGCCTAGCCTTGCCTTTACAGCTGCCGTTCTCCATGGGCTGAGATAAAACTCTTATGGATGGTCCTGCCTTAGAGGTGGCTGTTGGCAGCCAAATGGAGCAAGGCTTACTTACCCGAGAGTGGCATTGGAAGCCAAAGTAAACCACCACAATGGTAGGAAGCAGCACAACGGTGAAGATAACAAACATCAGGAGCAAATTAATGAGAAAGACCAAGGAGTTCATGGTGACTACCAGCAGGGTCCATGCCAAGCAGCACCAGGCACTCCGTGGCTCCCTGGGAAGGAGCTGGTCATCCATGTCATATGGCGGAAGGCTAGGAATCATCTGAGATTTTTCTGAGAGGTTTTCTGCTCCAAAGCCCTCAGTGTCCTGGCCAGACATTCTTCAAGAAGATTGCTAATCAACCCACGCTCTTATCCAAAATGGTTTCTTTGCTTTTGGCAACAGACCTGGGAAGTAATGTGCAGAGCTTTTTCCTGCCTCTTCCACACATGGACAAGAACACTTAATCAGAGAGCATAACGGAGCACGGAAGGAAAGGCTTCTTTTGGCCACCTGCTTTCCCAGGCCCTGGCCAGCACAGGTTGTTTCCTTTCAAAATGTTTTCCAGCAGTGTCCCAACCTCAGTTTCAAAGTAGATGTGGCTGCTGGAAGTTTGGCAACAGGTATTACTTTCAGTCGTTGTTGTTCTTCCTAGGATTATGATCCCAAAAGGTCCCAAACAGTTGCTGTCTTAGCTTTGACAGGGTGCTTGGTTCCAGAGAGCGCCCAGCTTTAGCATCCTCCTCCACCTTTGAGCGCTGCTGTTTGCTAAGAATGTAAGGCACTTTCAGACAGTTCCTTGACTTCAAATCATTTTTCCATGCTCTTCACCCCGTACCCAAATAAAAATTCCTGCTCAACTCTCATCCAAATGAAGTGACCAGTGAAAATAATGAACAGCGGCTGTTTCGCCACTCTCTGCCTCGCTGGAGTCCTCGCCCACACCTTGCAGAGCTGGAAGCAAAGAGTGGAGCAGCGTGTGGTTCTGCTGCTCTCAGCTGCCTGCAGTCGCAGGCACTCAAACGCAAGCCGTCTCTTCCCTTCCGAGCTGGCTTTGCAACACTGCTCTGTTTACAGAGGAGACTCTGAAGCTGCTTTCTCTGCTCGCCCAATCCTTTACATCCGTCTCGCTACTCAAGTGATTTAGTACACAGCACCCAAGAGCCGCACTCAAACCATACATCTCCAGGTCAAGATGGTCCCTTATTTTAATTATTCTGCCTCTGATTAATTTTCTACAGTGTCTCTCTAGATTAAAAATCCCTTAGAGTAATTCATAATCATCACTATATACCTCAGAAATCTTCTGTTCTCTGCAGTCATCACTGTTATTGCTTGCAGAACATATTGATATTCTTGTACTGAAGGCACAGCAATTATCAATTATTACATCTGCCTCGTACGATCAATATTATTTAAGAATCCCAGTGATATCTGCACTTTTATGTAGCCTTTTAGATACATTCATATATGCTTGGTCATAGTACTGCAGGAGAGAGAAAAAGTCCTTAACTCCAGAGGAAACTGAGGTAGCAAAGATCTTACCAGAAGGCACAGCTCATCTGTGGCACGAGTCAGGGAAAGGATCCAGGAGTCCCATGTTCCACTCGATGCTATTTCTCTCAGAAAATTCTGCCCTAGAAAAAGGTTACCAGGAAAACAAGCTTCACACGATGCTAAATGTAAAATGATTTTTTTAATACAGATGTTTAATACAGCTGTTTTCATTCATTAAATGCTTTTGTGTTGAAAATTGTACATTTTGGGTGCTCCATCCCCCTGCCATTCTTGGGGGGTTTGGTATATTTATGTGCCTTACTTACTTACGTGCCGGCTGTAGCAACATGCATATCAGAATTAAAGCTAAGACAGTTTTCTCCACGGACTTGGACAGACCTGCTCGTGAAGCACTTACTGGTGGCCCATTAGAAGAGCTCTGCCAGACGGCAGGTTAGGGCTGGCGGACCTCTGGGCGGCTGCATCCCAGACATACCATGGCTCAGCAACATGCCCTGTATGTGCCTCTGTTTTGAGTGAGGGCTAGTAGTTTCACCTGACATTCATCCCAAATGGATAAATGGTGGCTAGTCCCCCGGCCGGGGGGGGGGTTGGGTGGGGAC